ATTTTGTTTATTTGGGGAATTAATTGGGTATAACTCATATATATATATATATATATATATATATATATATATATACATATATATATATATATATATATATATATATATATATATATATACACCACGTAGCTGCCCATCCGACGATGTAGCTAAGTGCAGCCGCATAGGATATATATATATATATATATATACCACGTAACTGCCCATCCGACGATGTAGCTAGGTGCAGCCGCATAGGGTGTATTAGGTAAAAAAAACGTATAGATGTGCATAAGCGTGTGCATGGGTTAGAAGTAGTGGAAGCCCCATTAAGGGAGCAACCAAATGATGCTTTTGGAAGGAGAACAAACCGCCATCATTGAAATATGTTCTCATATACTTTTTTTAGTAATAAGATACTAAGAGTTTATATACATGCTTCATCAAATAAACAAAAGCTAAAGAGTTGGGAGCGGCGCCTCAGTGAATTGTCGTTGACATATTTGGCTACTCTTTGTACGTATAATCATAATTTACTCCATTAAGTTTATTTTTTTAGTTCATTTCTTTGTGTCTTTTATTTCCTACCTTACTTCTAGTGTAAAATATACCAAATACGTTAATTTGGTTGCACGCGTGGGATTTATTTATACACTATAATCAATGATCGTTTTTTTCTATGTTGCTACTACTACGCATATAAATTTATTTAATTATGGAGTATATACTTATATATATGCTCCCAAAGACCTATAAGATTCACTTATTTAGTCCGTATAAATATTCAATTATATAATTAATTTATGAAAAGGTCAAATAAAGTTTGTATTATGATGCACCCGATAACATTACACCTAGATGATCGAGTCTTTAATTTGATACATAGCTATTATTGCTATTTTGTGAATTCAAACACGATACTTTTGTAACAATTTATTCCGAACATCCTTTATTTTCCATTGCGTCCCTAGGAACTAAGCTCTTACAATCGAAAATAATTGTTTACAAGACTGATACTCTTTCCGCTAAAGCTAAAGATCAAAACAACTATGCAGTCGTTCATATGGGTCGGAGTACATGCTACTAATTTGCAACTTGCATATAGAAGTAATCGGAGGTAGTATAAAGAAACGTTTTATAGCTTAGGAAAGTTTTTGATGGTGGAGATTGGGATGAGAAATACAGTTCGTTGTTAGCTAACATAAACTTTATAGTTTAGGAAAACATTGAATGGATAAAATGTTGGTTAATTTCATGATTAAGGGTTATTGTTTAGGGAAATACATAGTATGTGATTGACGTGCAACCCATAAAAAGCAACTAGGAATTGGACTAAAGCAGGTTACAACTTGCTCAAATAATGGTCCCACCATATACATATATAATAGACATATTTTCTTAATGGTTTTAACTAGCTAATAATCAAATTATAGCCAATATTGTTTAATATACAATCTAATCCGTCATTCAAGCAATTAATAAATGAGTAAGGGTGCTTTAAGACTTTAACTTTACTTACTCTAACTTGGTATTGAATTGGTCGCTTGGGAATTTAGGATATAATATATACATGGATGCCGATTATATATTTATGATGAGTTGCTTTAATATATACGGGTATGTACCTATATATATGCAATAATGATACTATCTCTGTCTCTAAGGGTTTTTGTTTTAGGGAGGAAAAACTATCCTACTGATCGATACCTTTCACATATCAACCAGATTTATATTACTAAACGAAAGAATTTGAGAGTGAAGGAAAGGTAAGGTAAGGGGATCTCCAAACCACCTTTAAAATTTTTCCTCTTGAAAAAAAAATCCCAAATGAATTATTTTCTTTATTAAAAAATAAAAGAAAGCGAAGCAAAAGAATATGCTATTGAATTACTCTAGATTACGAGGATAAAAGAACAATAATGAAAGATGAAATAATCATTGTAGGAGGTCATCATTGGGGCCAAAAAAGTCCTATAAAGGGCTAAAGTTTCTTAATGAGAGGGTGCTGCTAATTTTGGTTGATTTAAATTTCAGGGGATTATCTAATGATTGGTGTCCTAAAAAGGATAAACTAGTTGCACACTTGGGTAATTGACCTTTTTAATTAGCTTTTATTATTATTGTTGGGCAAATTTTCTAAATAAAAAGACCTAAATTGCAATATGAAGCAAATACTAGAGTAAGAACCATATGACGATCGACCAAAAGACCATTACTTAATCAACCACAATCGTCTACGTAACAAATTAAACACTTTATTGTTTTTGAATCGCATTACTACATTTAAATTTCATAACGGATGGAATGATATTGAGCATAAATGACTTATAAGATCCTAGAAAGTTACTTTGTACGGAGTACATATTTAAATTCAATGAAGCCAAGATGTCATGAAAACAAAATCTACAAAAACATAAATTAAGCAAAAAGGTTTAACAAAAGAACAAATAAGATATTTATGCAAAATATATGAATTCTTACAGATTTGGAAGATTGGAAGCTGCTAATATTGACTTATTCATACGCATACATTGTCTAAATGTATGTACACCCACAGAAAATGTATATATAAAACAGAACATTATATTAAAGGGACCACTTTTAGCTCAATAATTTTAGTTTAGTCTTTGGCCTTTTTCCCAATAATGTGTAATGTGTATGGAAGGCTACATTTCTATGCTATGAGTTTTCATGTGTTTGACAATTTTTGACAAATATGCGTGTGATTTTACAGACAATTGATGATAGACGTAAAACACTTCGTAGTACATAAGATGATAAGGTAGTGAAAAGATATATAAACTTAATTATCGAATGTCGATATGCTTGTATAATAGAATAAGAGATAGATTGAATAAATTGAAATTGTTTTGTGTGCATTGCTTATGAACTAAAGTGTGGTACGAGAATACAATGCATAAATTGAAATTATTTTGTGTGCATTGCTTATGAACTAAAGTGTGGTACGAGAATACAATGCATGGTATGCTATATGATCAATATGCATCGTTAATTGCTATATATATGCTATATGATCAATATCGGAAAATATATATATTTCGGATAATGATTACAAATCTCTAACACGATTCATGTGAATTGTTTGGATCCAGTGTTAAAACTCCATAACTATTGGAAGCAGAATTATAGTAGAGAGAAACTTATGCTTTGCTTAACTATAAAGGTAGTAATTGGGCCAGTTAAAGAATTTTGGCCCATTAAGGGAAGGTTATCTGGGCCTCTATAGAAATAGAAAGAAAGACGAGCCTTCAATGGAACCAATACTAGTCTATTTAACCAGTCCAATGTTTAGTTTGGTTTGAGTTAAGGAAATATAGGCAAATTAAAAGAAGAAAAAGGATAGAAAATTTAATTTCTTATTACTTTCATTCTTTTTTAGCAACCAAACAGATTGTGATAAAGAGAGAACATACATGAAGAAAACAAGGATCTGAAAATTCACTTCTCTAGTTTAGAGGTGTTTTTCATATTAAATTTTATCACTACTACAATCTTACACAGTAATTATTTATAAAAATTTTAGAAGACACCTACATCGTTATTAAGAACATGTCAAAAATCCAAACTAGATGTACTGTCCATTATCACTCTATATAATTTGGCCATGAGCATGGTCTGGATGATGTATAAAGGAAGAAATTCGCCGCAATATAGCAGCAGCCTCAGGATCCAAAGGATCATAAAGGTGAAAACAATGTTTCTTACCTTTGTTCTCCATAGTATCCCCCATTGTCCCTTTCCACCCACTCTTGATCAATTCATCGACATAATTTTTCCCTGCCTCGTACAAGGTCTTACCATCCATCCCGGCCACTACCACCAGCACCCTGTCACACCTAATCCTAGCCAAATCCTCTACAGAAGGGCTCAACCTATGATCCCTCGGACCTTGATTCGTAGGACACATGTACGTCCACATTGGTTCACCTTCACAAAAAAAAGGGATGAATCAAAATCATCCCTTGTACCTTAACATCACCAAGGAGTTGGACTACACCCGCCTTAGCTAACAAGTTATGAGAGATATTTCCTCCTGCTTAATCTCCACTAACAAAGATCCTCCCAAGATCAGCGTGAGCATTAATCCAAGGTTCCGGTCCTAAGCCCTTACAATGCGACGCAACCCACTGGAGTGCATCCCAGCAGTCATCATAACAAGCAGGAATATATCGCTTAGGGAAGAGCGAGTACTCAACAGACACAGCTATGACACTGGCTTCAGCAACGACGAGTGAAACAAAGAGCGAGTACTCAACCGAGAAGGCAGACTGCATACAAAACCCACCTCCATGAATGTAAAAAAGAAGAGGAAGTTTATTATTATTACCTGCGGAATTGACAGCAGAAGTTGGCAGGAAGATTCGAGCAGAGATATCAGGGGATATGTTTACATCTTTGGTTTCGACACCAGGGGTGGAAACTGGGTGATCAGATGGAGGTGCCTTCTCGAATATTGATGTGAAAACATGGACACGACCATCTTTGAGGACATTGAAGAAAAGGAATTTTTTAGCTATGTCTGATTCTGAGTAGTTCCACTCAGACTTACTACTACTGATGCTGCTAAAATAATTCATCTTGATCAATTTTTTTACTTTAATTCCATACAAATTAATGTAGTACTTCTTATATATTATAGCAGCATGATAATGTGAATCGTTTGAAGTTTAGATAAGAAAATTTCTCAATAAGACATGGCCATATAGTATAAGGCTAGAGGTGACGTTTTGAGCAATCTCTGGTGTTAAGCAAAGTGGGAGAAATATATGAACAAATGTATGAATATGAGAAAGCAAATTCAGAGGCGCCTAATTTTCTGTAACTTAAGAAAATTACAGCAATACACTCTCAGCACCATTGTTCATTATATGTTGTATTTATTGTCCTGTATAATACTTGTATAGTTGTATAGAATACGCTCATATATAAGTATGCAATCACTGAAATATGTCACAAAATCTAATTCTTTAAAAAAAATAAAAATTGCACACATATGTAGTAGCTTTGACCAATCTCCATATCTTTAAATTGACTCATAAATCACATACATAGTAATTGTCAGCCATGACTAAATCATAGTTTTCATCTAATTAGTGCATTATCGTATACAAAAACCATCACAAGAGCTTTTCAATATAAATTATTCAAATGATTGATCTTCTCCATTTAAAATTTATTATAATAAGTCCGCCTCATACAAGACTTTGGAATCATAGCTAATTAACTTTGATTATGGATGAAGGAAGCGATCCGTTGACGAATAGCAATAGCCTCAAGATCCATAAAATTAGAGAAATTGAAGCAATGATCTTTATCTTTGTTCTCCATGATCTCCACTGTCCCTTTCCAACCACTCTTGATCAACTCCTCTGCATACATATTTCCTGCACCATACAACACATCTTTCTCAGCCAACACAACCAATACCCGGCCACACACGATGCGAGGTAGATCCTCTACAGCAGGCTTCATCCTAGGATCCTGAGGCCCTTCATTTGTAGGACACATGTACATCCACATCTTATCATCTTCTCCAAAATAAGGATGAATTAATATCATCCCTTCAACCTTTGCATCCCCAGGTAGTCCCATTGACCCTGCTTTAGCTAATAATGTGTGACATATGTTTCCTCCTGCAGAGTTTCCACCCACGAAGATCCGGCCAAGATCGGCGTAATCATTGATCCAAGGTTCAGGTCCGGTAGTGCCCTTACTGTGAGACGCCAACCACTGGAGTGCAGCCCATGAATCGTCGTAGCACGCAGGAAGAGGGCGTGCAGGGAAAATGCCGTACTTAATTGTGATGAAAATGACATTGGCTTCAGCGGCTATATCAGAACCGAAGCGTGTGGAATCCTCAGAAAAGGCGTACTGCTTGCAGAAGCCTCCTCCTTGGAGGTAAAACACGACAGGGAGTTTTTGTGTGGTGCACGCGTTGGTGGATGCAGAGGAAGGGATGGAGATTCGGGCAAAGACTTCAGTAGAGATTTCGACGTCTTTGGTTAAGACATCAGGGGTGGTACCAAAGGAAGGAGGGACACTCTCAGCAGGGGGAGTCAAGACATGGACTCGACCGTCTTTAAGAACATTGAATAAAAGGAATTTTTGAGCAATGTCTGATTCTGAATAATTCCACTCAGATTCAGATTTGTTGGTGTTCAAAGACATGATTAAGAATTGCAAGTAAATTCAAGAGTTCTTCGGGATGATATCAATGTGTTATAACTTATATTGATATTCACGTTGACTTTTTACAATTTTTTTTAAAAATAAAATCTACCCCTTATGGTTCAACAACTAACTAATTTAGGCTTGAGTATAGCATTTGATAAAATGTGTCACAAAATCTAATATTATAAAAAGACTACCTCAACAAATGCAGCGGTCATATAACAAAAAGTAGCTCATAAATCACATAAACAAAGTTTAATCTGTAACAAGATGAAGCATACATGAGCTATATATGACTAGACCTGAGTATTCATCTTTCACATTTTACTATCACATACAATAATCAACAATCCAACAATGCCCACTAATAATCCCAACAAATTAATATAAGTCCGTCTCATATAAGACTTTGCCATTTGTAAAAAAAAAATCGGAAATTAACTATAGAAATCATTAGATAATATAATGCCTATCGAATACAGAGTTATTAATAAGCTTTTGTGTACCAAGATATATAATACCTAAGGAAGGTGAAATACGTACCAATTAAGCTAAGCTCTCCTATGAAATTTTACATAACCCCAACTAATGAAGGCCATTTAGGCATACATACTTAACATTCTAGTATATGTATGTATGACATTATTTGTACATGTTCTTTCTTATTATTGTATTAAGTTAGGAAAGAGCATGCATATCATGTGTATGAATTAGTTGCAATTACTATAGTAAATTGCACTTTTGCGAGGCAAGATTCTTTGTAAACCCATCCAATAGTCTTTGATTTTTCCTGTGCTAATTAACACATCAAATCTCACACCAGGAATAAATCTTATACGTGCGTACGAATCACCTTTGAACACGTACGCTTGATGTGGATTATGTGAAGCAAAACAAGCATCAATTCCATGTTCAAATATTGTACCTTTAAAACAAGGCCAATTTTGACGTATTGGAGCGTTATTTATAAGCTGACCATTAGCACTATAGTTGATACGAGCACATTGATCGCCCTTAAAGAGGTAAGCCTCAAAAGGACGCGATGATTCAAACGCAGCATCAATACCATTCGCGAACACTGTCCCATTTAAGAAGGGGAACATTTCTACGATGAGCTTTGGGCCTTCGAGGATTTTGTTGTTAGGAGAGTACAGACCGTAGTACCATTTGGCACAAATGTTACCGGAAAATATGTAGGCAATTCCAAGGTCATGAGACGCGAATGCACAAGTTATTCCTAGCTCCCCGAAAATTGTACACTCGAGGGATGAAAACACGGCACCTATATGAGATGGTCCGTACAATATTTTGTCATACTTCTTGTCAGATAATATAAACTCCTTGATAGAGTAATTTCCATTGATCAATATTTATAGGGTTACAATGAGAAACCTAATCATATTAGGTAACTATAAGATATGTAAAGATATCAAAGATAATCTTATACAAAATATATCCTAAACCGATGAGAATATTATATGGATATTCTCTATCACACCCCCGCAGTCAGAGCGGGAGAAAATCGGATGCTCAGACTGGATCTGAATCACGCATCGAACGGTAAGGATAATATAGTAACCCATGATCAAAAGAGAAGTACGTAGTAGACGTGTGCTGGTGATGACGATGAGAAGCAACAACCACGACCTACGTATAGTAGAGATATGCGCTTTTAGGCCGAAGGAGAAGAGTCACGCATATACTTGGGCCAAGTTACAGATCCAGAGAAGAATAAGTTAAGGGATCAAACCATCATCAGGGAGAAGACACTACACTACTACGTGAAATCACAGTTGAAGAAAAACAAATAAAATTGCGCAAGAAAAGATTAAATCCCACCGCTTGAAATTAATCAATTCTCAAAAGAGAAACCAGGTAGCAAAAATTAATACTCCACAAAGATTCCAAGTACTGCAACAATAAAAGGAGCTAACTTGATAGCAAAAGAGATGTGCAAAAGTTGACCTTATTGTGATATACCACCACCAGAACAAAATCTATGTGATTATGTGTAAAAAAAAACCAACGAGGCAATGTAAGAATCATTGTTGGTCATGGGGAGGTGGAAGTAGAGTGCGGCACATGGAGTAGGTTGGCAGATGTGGTTACTGCCAATAGTGGGAGGCGGTAGTGTATGCGATTGCCAACAATGATGGAGGAGGCTTTCGCGATTGCTACTGTTGGTGGGAGGCGCAAGGTTACATAAAGATTCTAAAAAAAAACTTTGAGAAAAGAAAAAAAAATTCTATATGTGTGTTTGCGGAAGCATAAAAAACTTTGAATATTCCGCCGGTGGGTTTAATTTTCTAACCCACCGGCAGGGTGAGAATTTTTGTATATGATCCCAAGATCTAACCTAAGCTGTGATACCATGTGAGATAATATAAACTCCTTGATAGAGTGATTTCCATTGATCAATATTTATAGGGTTACAATGAGAAACCTAATCATATTAGGTAACTATAAGATATGTAAAGATATCAAAGATAATCTTATACAAAATATATCCTAAACCGATGAGAATATTATATGGATAATATATCTTAGTGATATTCTAAGATAGATTTATGGAAGTTTATATGATAGAGTTTATATTGTGTAGGTTATCTTATGTAGGCTATAAATATTAACCAAGATCATCAATACAATTCAAGCTATTCTCTCATAAATAATTTATCATGGTATCAAGAGCAGGTTAAATCTTGAGACCGTTCACACAAATATTCCCCCTGCCGGTGGGTTAGAATATTAAACCCACCGGTGGAATTCATAAATTTGCTTCCGCTATGCAATAGTATTGCTCTTTGAAATTTCTATTTTTTTATTTAATCTTTTTTTTTTTTTTGGAATAACCATGTGATACGTGGGTTATTATTGGTGTATGTGATCAATATGAATGGTCATATGTGATTTGGTTAGGTTGTAGTGTTTGAGTGTGCTTCCTCCATTATTGCATCTCCAAGGAGATGAAGAAAAGCCACGTTTGGCGTATTATTTATTATTTAAAAAAAAATTGCAAAAGACCACGGACACCAGCGAAGGGCCCGGCAAAGAAGATTACGGACACCAGCAAAGGGTCGTGGCAAAGAAGATTACGGACACTAGCAAAGGGCCGTGGCAAAGAAGACCACGGACACCAGCAAAGGGCCGTGACAAAAGACCACGGACACCAGCAAAGGGCCGTGACAAAAGACCATGGACACCAACAAAGGGCCGTGGTAGCAAAAGTTCGTTTTTTTTTTTGAATAAAAAAAAATTGAAGGTGACATCAATAGAGAGGTGCAACTTGATCGACTTCAACAAAGTGCGAATTTCCAATCATAACGTTCGTGTTACTGCCGTTACGATTGTGGGAGGGTGTTAGGAATATAGGAAAATATATTATTCTGATATATTTTCTATATAGATCTCATAATATTATATTTAGGATATTCTCTATCACTTCTTACCGGGTGCATAGTCACATAAAACGTACTCATTTTGCATGAATATGTAGACTTCATTTTGACGAACTGACTTGAATGCCGCGGTAATATAGATTTGATCAGTCGACGACATCGTTTGATCTTGACAACTTGCTTGACAATCACCTGATCATTAATTGACAAGGACTAATTAATCACAACCATCAATTCATCAAATCAATTTATGAAGCACGTACTACATACGAAAATATGTACGCCCGGTGATAAATTACATCCTCAGTTTCAATCATGTCCTAGAGTGACCTCTTAAATATGGAGTTTTTATATTATGTCCTCCGTCAAATTATTTAATAAAACATGAAATGACATTGTACAAATAAAAACAGATAAAAAAAATGGAGAAGTGGAAGTTACCGATAATATAATTTGTTGCTCTAAATAATTAACCTCTCTAGTATAGTATAATGCCTATAGAGATTTGAAGAGAGATGAGTTTGAGATGTAACTCATGCGAGCATACATGATAGATAGTGTCGTTGCTCTGCTTTTTATGGATGACAAAGGAGCATTTTCGTAAATTCAGAACACCATTATCAACTCTATCCCAAAGGAATCCTGAAAGGCGTTTTATTTACGCTCTTCAAAAAAAAAAAAAAAAAAAAAAAGCTTGCATGATTACATTATACATATCTTTATGCTATATCAAATTGCTATCTTCTAAAGTTGTGATGCTTTTATTTTTATACAAATAATTATTGTCAGTGGATGATGACTTTTTATTAGAGCTGTCAGTTTTTGACCCGAACCGTTAAACCCGACTGTTTCGAACCGATCCGAAAAGGAACTGAACTGTTTAAAGCCCGTTTTTTGGAAACCGAAAACTGACCCGACTCAATTTTTTCCAACCCGAAATTGAACTGAACCGAATTTGTGCGAACCGTTACTAACCCGACCCGTTATCAAGCCAAACTGTTACAACCCGAAACTGAAAGCAACCCAAACCGATTACGTTTAAACCCGGTAGTAACCCGACCCGTTTTAAACCGAAAACCGTTAAGAGCCGATAAAAATCCGATAAACCTAAATCGTTCCAACCCGTAACCCGTTGTGACCGAACCGTTTATGACCCGTAACCCGTTGTGATCAAACCGTTTAAAACCCGTAACCCGTTATGACTGAGTCATTTACAACCGGTTACCTAATATGTTTATGATCTAATCTGTTTCAACCCACTACTCGATGGACCCAACTTATTTGTGACTTGACTTGATTATAACATGACTCGTTCCTATCCGTTGTCTGACTAATTTGACTCGATAATCATCCGACTCAATTTTAACCCGATATGATTCGATTAGAAACCCGCTTCAAATTGGGTAAACTCGTTTTCAAACCAACCAAGTTCAATCTAAACCGCGTATAACCTGAAACGATAATGATTGGACTCGATTTCACCCGATCTGTTTTGAAACCGAAACCCATTTTCGAACCGACCCAGTTAAACCCAAACTGATTATGACTCGAACCAATTACGACCCGTCCTGATTACGACCCGAACTGTTTTTAACCGAAACCCACATTAAACGGGCTAAACCCGTTTTCAAACCGACCCGGGTCAACTCAAATTGATTATGACCCGAACCGACTAGAACCCGGCCCGATAAGGACCCGGTCCGAATAGAAACTGCAATTAAAAAAACCAAACCGAACTGACCCCGATAATTTTCAAAACCGACCCAAACCGACCCGCTTATTATTTCAACCCGTTATAAATCAATCCGTTATAACCCAAAACTTATAAATCCAACCCAAACCCAAACCGTTAAACCGAATTGACACCCCTACTTTTTATTATATTTGATGGATAGTGGTAATGTTTTATTCGAATATAGCTAGTGGCTTGGGTAATTGCTCTAGAGATGAATAGTCCATAAGAAGATATGGGCCCGTCAAAAAAAAAAAAAAAAAGATATGGGAAATGATTTTGGCATACCCTATGTAAGAAGAGCGTAGATAATTATTGTTTGGGGGTTTTCTATGTGTCCTTCGGGAGAGTTACAATTTCCTAGCAGACTTCCTTCTTACGCCTGTACCTTCACCTAGCAGACTTCCTTCTTGCGCCTGTACCTGCACAAGTAACGGAGACTCCGGATGGGGGGTGGGAGTTCCGCCTCCGAAGATTAAGTTAGTATCTTTTCGAAGTGGAATAAGAACAGTAAAAGCTTCTCGGTTCGAGAGCGTTTCAGTAGGTTTTGGCTTTGTTTGGTTTTTTTGTGGTTGCAATTAATGTATGTAGGTCATAAATGAGGTCTACCCTTACTATTTATAGTAAGGGAGAACTGTACCTCAATTAGGGTATAAGGGACACGTGTCTGCAAAGGAATTGGGCCTTTGCAGACCGCTGAAAGATTGACACGTGTCAAGCCTTTATTGGGCCACGTGTCTTAGGGTATTTTCACCCTAAACATCTGCCCCTCACAGGTGAGATGTGGCAAACTCACGTGTCATCTGTGACAGACGTAGGGTGCATGGGGTAAGTGACGGTTCGTCTGCTTCCCCCTCTTGAATTTCAAATTTTCGTGCAGAAGGTGACTGTTCGCCTTCTGCCTCTTTCTATAAGTAGGGTGGCTACCTCTTTCCTCCGCACTTTTTATTTTCAAAAATTTCCTGAGAAGAAGCTCTGATACCGGCTGCTTCTTTCAAGACTTTCGAGCATCCGGTTTTCGCAAGAACTTGACATCTGCCTTCCGGCTGAGTGCGGATTTAGTAAGGTACCGTCTGCATTCTCCCTCTTTTTGCCCCTAGATTAAGGACCTCACTCGGCATTTTGCCGCCTGGGTATATTTTGTCCAAAAATTTCTGAATTACCCCTACCTCATCCGGGATTTCCCGTGTGAGGTTTTTGAAATATTTCCCTAGTTGTAAAATGCCCTCATCCGTCATTTTGCCGCATGGGGCTGGCTTGGGACAAGTCCAAAAATCCCCCTCATCCGGCGTTTTGCCGTCTGGGATGTTTAATATACACCCATCCGGCATTGTGCCGCATGGGACCCCTTTGAGCCAACTTTGTTTTTATTCAGACTAGTCATAAGTAACCCCATCCGGCCTTTAGCCGTATGGGGGTGGTTTGATCAACCTTTGCTTTCATGGGGTAGTTTGAGCAGCTTGGCTTTTTCTCAAACATCATTCAAATTGCCCCCATCCGGCATTTAACCGTATGGGGGTAGTTTGAGCAGCCTTGGCTTTTTCTCAAACATCATTCAAATTGCCCCCATCCGGCATTTAACCGTATGGGGGTAGTTTGAGCAGCCTTGGCTTTTTCTCAAACATCATTCAAATTGCCCCCATCCGGCATTTAACCGTATGGGGGTAGTTTGAGCAGCCTTGGCTTTTTCTCAAACATCATTCAAATTGCCCCCATCCGGCATTTAACCGTATGGGGGTAGTTTGAGCAGCCTTGGCTTTTCCTCAAACATCATTCAAATTGCCCCCATCCGGCATTTAACCGTATGGGGGTAGTTTGAGCAGCCTTGGCTTTTTCTCAAACATCATTCAAATTGCCCCCATCCGGCATTTAACCGTATGGGGGTAGTTTGAGCAGCCTTGGCTTTTTCTCAAACATACAAATAGCCCCATCCGGCTTTTAACCGTATGGGGGTCGTTTGAGCAGCCTTGGCTTTTTCTCAAACGTTGTTTAAATTGCCCCCATCCGGCGTCTAACCGTATGGGGTTGTTTGAGCAGCCTTTAGCTTTTTCTCAAACATACAAATAGCCCCCATCCGGCTTTTAACCGTATGGGGGTCGTTTGAGCAGCCTTGGCTCAAAACTGTTTCAAATTGCCCCCATCCGGCTTTTAACCGTATGGGGGTCGTTTGAGCAGCCTCGGCTTTTTCTCAACGTTGTTTAAATGCTCCCATCCGGCGTCTAACCGTATGGGGGTTGTTTGAGCAGCCTTTAGCTTTTTCTCAAACATACAAATAGCCCCCATCCGGCTTTTAACCGTATGGGGGTCGTTTGAGCAGCTTGGCTCAAAACTGTTTCAAATTGCCCCATCCGGCTTTTAACCGTATGGGGGTCGTTTGAGCAGCCTCGGCTTTTTCTCAAACGTTGTTTAAATTGCCCCCATCCGGCGTCTAACCGTATGGGGGTTGTTTGAGCAGCCTTTAGCTTTTTCTCAAACATACAAATAGCCCCCATCCGGCTTTTAACCGTATGGGGGTCGTTTGAGCAATTTCCAGCCCATCTCTGCTATCCCTCATCCGGGACTCCTCCGCTTGGGGGGCTTTAAAATGAGCTTCCAATTAAACATGTCTGATCTATTTTTCTTTATTTCAGCTTCAAACACATTCGGAGATTTCCGCCTGTGTAGGTTTCAAGCCACCATCTCAGCAAATTCCAACCTCCAAAGGTACCGTCTGCACCCTTTTTCAATTCTTTTTGTTAATTTTCCGGTTGCGTAGATAGGATATGGACCCTTCAATTATACACTCGGCACAGTTTACGACTGCTGTCAGGCGGTCACCAGGCACGGCTGAGTCTAGGACTGGGACTGCCGTCTGGGGGTATTTTGGCGAACCTTCACCTACCTCGAATCCGACCGTCTCTGTTCATGTGCAAGACAGAATGGCTCGGATAAGATGGACGGCAGTTGACCCGGATTACAAATCCGACGACGCAGCCGAAGATCCGGCTGATCCCAGAAACGAGGACCAGACGGCAGGACCGTCTGGTGAAATTTCTTTGGAAGAAACCCTGGGGACTCGTCAAGATTCCCCGAGTGGTCCGAGCACACCGGGTGACAGCATATTAGAAGACTCTGATTTTAATGCCGAAGGATCCGGCGATGAATCTGCTGGAGAAGGGTCTGGGTCCGAATCTGAAGCCCCTGCACAGGAGGCTGAGCCTATTGTGGAGGAGGCTTACAAATGGCCGGCTAAGGGGGATCCGACTGACATGACCATGTCTGCAAGAGACGTGGTCACCCTTACTGCAACCCTTCCTGCCTTTCTTTTTAAAAGGAAACCAGTTGGGAAGGACTGGGAAATAAGAGTCCCGCCTGTTAATGCAACCGTCGTATGGGCGGACGACTTGGACCATGCCGATGATTTTTTCGGCTGTTATGAGGCGGCATTCAAAGCAGGCCTCCGGTTCCCCCTTCACCCCTGCATCAAGGACATATTGCTGGGGTATGACTTGGGCGTATGGCAATTGACTCCTAACTCTTGGGTCAATATTTTGGGGTACATTGCCGCGTGTGAGCTGCAGGAGGTAAACCCCAGTTGGGAGGCCTTTGCACACATGCATTACCTCAGCCGGGCTCCGGGTGGGTGGAATGCCTGGTACACCCTTACCACCAACCAAGAATACATGATGACTTTGGAGAAGCCATCAAAGTGGACTAACTGGAAGAGCAAATTTTATGTCGTCTCTTCTCCTTCCACTTCCCTAAATCACCGGCTGCGGCGGTATAATAAGCACCCGACATTACTGGGCAAAAAATGCGCGCTCCCGAAAGTGCCGTCTGAGGCCTGGGACCAAATAATGGAGACGGGTCTCTTCCTCAAAACGACCCATCTGATGGAGGACGGTAGTGAAATCATCGTCCCAAAGTTCTGGGTACCCCTCCCGGAATGGTTAAGGGACGAGTCCTTCTTGTCCCTTTGCAATCTAAGTTCCATGTTTAAAAAGAGTAGGTTCATTAACCCATCCGGTATTCTGACACCTGATTATGCGTACACGCTCTAACTCGAATTTCCCTTTTTTGCAGGTAAAGCTAAAAGGATGGTACCTCCTGAAAAGACACCTGCCTTCTCAGCTATTGAGCTGAGAAAGAAGCAAATCGAAGAGAAGAAGGCGGCACTGGCCGCCAAGAATGGAGTAAAACCTCTTCCATTTCTTACCGGATGACATATGATCTGCCTTTGTTTCTAACTGATTGCTTTGTTTTGACTATTTTCAGGGTGGAACCCAAGGCATGCCAAAATCATTAGCAAGCATGCACAAAAGACCGGCTGGTGTGATACCCCAGCCGGCTTCAAAAGCTCCAAGGCTGCCGGGTCCACCTTTGGCAGCTAGTCCCGCAAAGAGGACGTCTGACCCTGCCAGGCCAACCACTGCAGGGAAGAGCCTGCAGCTAACGCCGAGTGCCTCGACGGGCCAAACCCGGATGGGATCTGGCTCAGATGCGGCTGGGGGGATGGCACCCCACAGCCTGTACAAGGTAAAACCTCTGCCTTTGACCCCCCCTGGCCGCTTGGGCATATGAGAGTCAAAACTCAAGCAAGCCAGTCTGGGGGCTCCTCTGGCAGCCGCATGAATATAGGCGGCGCCTATGCCCAGTATCTGACAGATAACCCTTCCTTTGCAGATGACTCTACCAGCCGGCCCGACTACAACCAATACGCCAAGAGAATGGTCAAGACTCTGACCCGTTCTGAAAAGGAGGCGGTGCCGGCTGTACACCAGGTAAACCTGGATCGCATCAACTCTCTTCTTGCTGAGGTAAATAACCCGAATGCCCTATGCTTGTCTCAAGCTCTGCTTTTGCCGGATGAGTAGTAATTATCATCATTAATTCTAACTCCTTTTCCGGTTGGTACCATAGGTGATGCTGAGAGTGGACGGGCTCCGAGTCCCCTTGCGTAAAAAGCAAGAGGAGGTAAGAGACGCTCAGAAGCGTGCCCTTGACCTAATTGACGTTAGTCAATTTCACACTATTAAATATGATTTGGCAACTAAAGAGAGAGAGTTGCAACAGGAGGAATTACTGAAAGAGGCTGTGCTGGCTGGGGATGAGGCCAAAAAGAAAGTTGATGAACTTGAGCTTAAGGTCAAGGACCTCCAGGCTGATCTCAGAGCTCTGGAAGGAGCTGACAAGGAAAATGCCAACCTCCGCCAGAAGAACAGCGAGCTGACTGTCCAACTCACTAATATTCAGGCGGCCCACAAAAAGGAGCTGAACGAGGAACTCAGTCGCCTGATTACAGAGAATGAAGCCGACTGCGAGGAGCGCATGAAGCTGGCTTGGGCCTCATCCATCCGGACTCTGACTTTGACTATTTCAACCTCCGTTACTTGTATGCTTCTGAAGTTTA